CTATGGAAGTCAATGAGACCAGACACTGTCTGGTTACTGATATTCTTCTAAATATCAGAAAATCGGCTGAATGGATTCGAAAACGGTAAAACTCAAATGTTTTAACTCTGGGGGAGTTGTAAAATGAGCCTATTTCCAAAAAGGTGGAGTATCCCTTTAAAGAGAAACACGGTCTTTACAGCATTATTTTATGCTATTTTTCTGCACTAAACTAGTGAATTTTCCCAAGATATATTCAGAGATGATAAACAAGATGTTAAAGGAATAATAATTTAATAAAAACCCAATTTTGATAAAAAACTGACATTCAATCTATTTAGACTTTACTCAAAACGTACCAGCGCGACATCCGATGGGTTTTCCCAGATCGCATCACACACATACATATATATATATATATATATATATATATATATATAATTTTTAATTTTTATACCCATTGGGAAAAGGCCACTGTTTTTTTATTTTAGGTTTTGTTTTTTTTTGTTTTGTTTTTTACATCTTTTACATGTCTTGATGATTAGAATATCTATCATTTCAGTGACTAAATCATTTTCAGCTGATTTTCTGTGTTTCACAATTTGTTGCTCGTCCCCTTTAGGTGCAGTCGCTTTCAGTCAGAGATCAAGCGGCTGAAAATCTCGTCTCCTGTGCGTGTGTGTCAGAACTGTTTCTACAACCTGCAGCATGAGCGGGGCTCTGAAGAAAGCCCAAGAAACTAGATCACCCTCACCCCGCCTCACGTGCCCAAAACACCCAACCACCCTCAAAAAAACCCACAACACCGCTCCGCGTGCAAAATCCCATCGGTAAATCACTGACGTAGACCAAAATGGGATCACTAATGCTCATAATTTCATTAAAGAGAGACGATTGTTAGTTACTTTTCCATTCATGCATTTTCTTTTGCAGTTTGCTCCGTCTTCTCATTGGCATCATCCACAAAGTCGGCAATGTTTCGATTTTAGAAAAAGCAATGCGTATAAAACGCTTCCTGATGAAACGAGATGACGTTTGTTTATATTGTAAATACTTACAATGGCATTTTTAACTTGAAACGGTGAAACAAAAGTCATTATTAAGAGATAAAAGAGGAAATGAAAACAACACTTTGCTTGTAATATAGTATTACAGTATGTTAAAAATCACTCTTGGCTTTAAAAGAACAAAAATGTGAGTGTGTGTGTGTATGTGTGTGTAGTCAATGTCACAAGTCACAGCATCCCAGGGGGAATATTATTAGGGACTATGAATGTTGATAAATGTTTGTGGGTTGACATTACTAGCTTGTCTAGTTATGCAAATGCTTAATTATTTTGTTTGTTTTATATGTTCTGTTAAAGTTTTGCCCACAGTATCAGCCAGTTGCCATAAACAGATTTTCGGTTTAAATTTTGTCGCCAAACTGCCTTGATTTGTAATTATTATTATACATTTTAAGAGTAGGTCAGTGAAAGTATGTAATTGTTGAATTTAGATCAAAAACGATGATTTTGACCACTGTAAATCATTGTTAATGACAGGATTCATTCAACCTTTAAATGATTCCACTACCTTTTTATATATATATGTTTTAAAGACAGAAAGTCAGTTGATAGACTATAATATGAAATATGTTTCTGAAGTGTCAAGAGTCATATTGGATGTTTTACTTTGGGACTTTTCTGACAGTCCTTAATGCAATTATTTATCTGTTATTATTACTAACTAATATGAATTAGATAACTTGAATGTTAATTTAACTCTAGCTTTTTTGACTTTTTCACTATTTCACCATTCTTATTCTTAAAATCTTTAAAAGTTTAACCATTTGCGATGTTGCACCAGTTTAAACGTCTGTAGATTATGAAAGCAATAGTTACTGATTATTTCACTCCACATACATTTGACGAAAGACTGTAGCTTGAAAGTTATCATGTTTAAAGAAAAAGGGATTGAACAGTTTTTGATGGACTGGACGCTTACTTTCTCTGTACCTTTGGCAGGACTATGAACTAAAAAGTTTGTTTCATCTTTTCTTTTTTTTTGTTTGTATGTGTTTTTTGTTGCTTTTCTTTTGATACTGTGGGCAATACCTATCAAAAGTGCTGCTTTAATTAATTGAGAGAATATGTTTCACTTTCTTCCTTTAAACTGTCCGACACTTACAACTTTAAAAGATGAAAAATTTGTTACAGTTGCAGTTTTATGTATGATTTCCGTACAACCTAATATGCACTCATTATAGTTGAATTATTCTGAATTAATGTACTGTAATTCAGTGTGCAATCATAACATCACAAAGCTGTTGGGATTTTGCTGTCGACAAGCAGCTCAAAGATCAAACGACTTAATCTGAAATTATTTTTTGCACCTTGACATATAGAGACATGGCGTAATCATTGTTTTATCAGATGCATTTTTATGTTGTGGGCTATTATTTTGAAAGAGTGCATTTCTTTACAGTAAGATGAACTGTACAAAGTATTTATGCAATTATGAGGTTTTCTTTTTTATGAATTTGTTTTGTTTGTAATTTTTCAGCAAGTTTGGTTACTTGTTGCATGTCTAACACGGCTGACTTTCTGTGTCAGTGTATTGTACATGTTTTGGCATTGTTTTGTTTTTTTGTTTTTCTTTCTTTCTTTGGGTCATTTTTATGGCATTATCTAACGAGTCAATCCTGAAGGTTTTGTGTACAGTTTTAGGTGGATATACAGAGAACATGTCCCATGACTCTGGAATGACTTTTATATTATAGGTATGGATGTTGAGGACTGATCTCAGAACTGATGAAACTCACGGATTGTCCCTGTTTGGTGGTCTTGTGATAGACTGCATTACTACAGTATCTAGTGTGCAAAACTGTGGTAGCTGAATGTTCATTGTATATTTGTGTTGAGAAACAATTATATGAAACCCCCGCCCCCCATAAAAACCCTTATACCTGTTATTATGACGCAATACATATGGTACTCATACTTTTTAATTTAATTCCAATTAAATACTTGCTGTTTATCACCACCAATGTCCTCGAATGAGTTTTTTTTTTTTTCATATTAACTTCCAGTGTATTGAATGAATATAAATCTAATTTTCAATAGGAAGACTTTAGAACAAATGTGATTTCACACTCTCTAAATTGAACAAATTTAATAACAGTGGTTTAATCTGAGGTTCCGGGATCACTGGTTTCCGGGAACACTCCTGAATGCTCATTTGTTTGAGAAACGAATCATTCATGAATGTTTAAATTTGGGTGTCCAGTAAACCACTGCACTGATAGTGCAAGGAAGTTAAAGACTGTTGTTATCTGAGTGATGTGCCAATACCACCCATCTGTTTGTTTGCTATGGCCCCTTATAATATCCTTTATTACACAAAAAATTACTAAGTAAATCATATATATGTTTTAAAATAAAACAGCATCATGACATTTCTATTTGGACACAAATTAATGAAAGTGACCTGTAAACTGCTAGGACTTGTGATTGATCTAGACAAATATACATCTCTTTTATTACTCAGCGGTGTACTGTTATGATTCACTGGTTTGAGACTTTATGAGGGTCCCAAGTGCAGCATTTATTTAGGACAATCCAGTATAGTAGCCAAAAACAGCCGACAATCCAAACTAGACAGAATCCAAGTTGTAGCACTAAAAAGGCTCCACTTCGAAAGCAAACCAGACCACAGCTTAAATAGGCAAACACAAACATGCTAATGATCCACAGGTGGGACAAATCAAATCCTAATGAGTCCGAGCAATGGTTTATGGGTAACGTAGTACATAATGGGAGCGCAAAGGAGTCGAGAGTACTGTCCTCTGGTGGAGATCATAGACACCCCAGCTTGCGAATGTAAAGTACACAATGGTTGACATTGAAAGAACTATAGCAAAGTTTATATGTCTTGGCAGTAAATAAGAAAGACACATTATCTTCTGGCACTGCATGAACATCCTATATTCAGGTACATACTAGAAAGATTTAATGAGAATTTGGTTGTCACTGTTTATTGTATTTAGTCACACATAAGTGAACTCTATACAGCAAAAGAGTGATAACCATATTCACTGTAGCTGCAGGGTATAGATACGTAGCCTAACTGCCATTACAAGACTAAAGTAAAAAAAAAAAATATTGAAATAAGAACCATTCTAAGTGGTGAAGTTCAGAAGAAAACAAAACGGGTAAACAGAGAAAGTTATACGGCATAAGTGTAGTATAGGCCTACTGTAAATGATGATAATTTTATGGTGAAATTTGGAAATTTCATCATAAGAGGGCAGAAATTCACTTATATAATCTGCCACCAAATATAATATAATAATAGTCTACAAATTAAGGGTTAAAATGATGATAAATGATCAAGAATAAAATCGTCATCACGTTGTTTCAGTAGCTTATGATGACTCACTTTCATTCCACAGTCAGTCACTACCATTCACTTTCACTATGTGGGAAAAGGGTTAGGCTTAAGTTTGGAACAACAGGAAACATAAGAACTTTCTATTTCTGCATAGACTTTAGACTAGCTTTCTTTATCTTGATCAATTTACATATTTTCTTGTAGCATAATGTAAAACGTTAAGTTCTAGGCCACAGACTTTTCTCAGAATAAGAGATAAAAAAAAATCTTATTTCTTGAAATTGCATTCAAAGAGTCATAAAATAATTAGCCTAAAATTTAAATGCTTTAATGGATATTAGCTATAGCTTTATGTAAATTTAACTTCCCTAGGATAATTATTAACTTTAATGTGTTAACAATTGTAGGAGAGCTAGGATTACAGTCCAAGAAAAGACTGTGTGAGAGTTAAGGTTAAAAGAACGTCGTCATCATCACGGAGGTGTGAGATGTCTTGACTTCAAATCATCAACAACATTCACAGACAGTATTACATATGGACTTTTGTAAGAGTTTGTGAAGTGAAGTGACCTGAACTCCAGCCACAGAGTGGAGCAGTGTTTCCTCTTTATGTTGAGTCACAGAGAGAGAGAGAGAGAGAGAGAGAGAGAGAGAGAGAGAGAGAGCGGGAGGGGGGTTGGTCTCTCACTTAACTAACAAAACAGCAGCAGATCTGCGGGCATAAACAAATGCACGCAAGCTGTCTGTCCCTACACCTGCCGCGGGAGAGACTTGACTTTGATGGTCGCAGTCGGTTAAATTAACCGGATTATTGAGACTGACACGAACCCCGCTTGCTTCATTTTAGCGCGGACCTCCGACGATATCTATGCATAATTTATACTGAAATAAGCAAAAATGACGGAGCTGAGACGGCGAGGCGGAGGAGACCCTGACAGCACGGAAAACATCAGTGACAAGGTAATTTATGGAGAACACGTTCATTCAGGAGGCTTTATTTCTCATAGTCGATTGCGAATGACCTTCTAGCTAATCAGCTAACGAGCAAACAGTCAGACCGTTTCAACCTGAGCAGATATTACACAAAAACAACTCGCTTAAGGTAATATTATGATTATATGTGGTGACATTTGTGCTATAGGACTGTCCCTTTAATTCATTTTATCTTTAAACTGGCGGTTGCCTCATCTGAAGTTGCTTGCTGAGCCAAACACGCCGCAAAGCCAGCCAGGGAGTCAGTGGCTGAGTCAGTGGCTGTGTCGCTAAACCTAGTGAGCTGCCTAACTAGACAGCATTTTGGTCTTAATAGACGTGTCTGGAATGTTCTGAAGACTTTGACCATCAACCAAGTTTGTCTTGCTCTAAAATTCTGTCTGTTGGCATCTCACTAGGGTTTGATACACGGTCAGCTGTCAGAATCAGCTGGTGTGCCATACAGAGCTGTTTAATGTCATTTAAATTAGACTTCAGAAACCATGAATTTTAAGAAATAGGTGAAAAAAAAATGAAAATTTGCCATTTATTCACCCTCATGTTATTACAAACAAGCACGACTTTCTTTCAGGGAACACAAAAAGGGAAGTTGGCAGAATGACAGTCCCTGTCTCTATTAATTTTCGTTGCTTCTTTCCATACAATGAAAGTGATTGGTGACTATTATCATCCTGTTTTTGGTGAAAGAAATCATGCAATTTTGAAAGGAGGTGAGGGTGAGTAAATGAGGACAGTTTTATTTGGGGGGTGAATTATTCTGGTAAGGTCAGCCAGTGCCTTTGTTGCTGTTCTGTTAAAAACATTTTATGGCAGTTATGGTAACAGTTTTAAATAACATTAAATTATTGTGAAACATGTTGGGTGCCTTTGAACGTGTTATAACTGGACTAAGATGTGTTTTTGCTGGATAGTAAAGTGAAGTCATGCACTCTTGAGCTGAAAAATCGATTTAGCTTTTGAGGTATATTTGGTAAATATTTATTTAAGAGGTGAAATATGTTTTGAGTTAGGTCTGTGTCCGTAAAGTGTAATTTAGTTTTCTCAGTTAAGAAATGTTCAAAAGTTCAAAGTCAGTGTACAGTGTTTTGTTTTCAGTTTTCTTTGTTTTTATGAATAGTCTATCCCTTCAAAAATGAAATTTTTGTGTTTTTAGTATTTTGAATTATCTGCTTTTGCAAATTACATACATTTGCAGAAACCTTACAAGTCACATTTTCATTTTCATCTCTCTCTCTCTCTCTCTCTCTCTCTCTTCTATTTTGTGAATTTTTTCAGATTAATGCCAGTTTAGTTGATTTTTTTATTTTTGTCACTTTCTATAAAAATGCGCTCTGTTGCAGTCACATACATGTGTGTGTTTGTGTTTGTTTGTGTGTGTATGAGATAAAAAGTTTGTTCTGCTTCGTCTTTATGCTCTAGGACCAGACCTTGATTTATTTATTTTTTTAATTATTTGTGCCAGTTTCTTTATTTTATTTGGCAATTTCTGTAAAAATGCTCCCTGTTGCAGTCAGATACATTAGTGTGTTTGTTTGTGTGTGTGTGTATGAGATGGAAAGTTTTTTCCACTTTTAATATGCTCTAGGACCAGTCCTTGGTTAATATGTAGAAATATTCAGATTTATAATAGGTTTACTTTTATTTATTTTATTTTTTTTTTACAAACAAAATGGATTTTTTTTTTCATCTTCCCATTCATTTTCAATGTGGGGTTATTTTGACCCCAAACACCTTTAAATGGTAAAAAAAATTATGCACCTTTAGAACAACCAAATCAAGCCCAGGTGTTTGCGCATGTTTAGATAGATTATTTAGGAAAAGTCAGAGAGTTTCATGCCCCTGAGATGAAGGTAACACTTTAAAAAATGAATTAAAAGTCCAGTGGGGTCCTCTGGTACCCCAAACACTGGTTAAGGGCTAGACAAATTAAATTTTTAGCTTTTCATCGGTTTGCTCTTTGTGTGATTGGGTTAGAGTCCTTTCCTCTTCCCTGGAAATGATGTAGTGATAATGAGGATAGCTGAGGGTTTGGGTAGATCACATGTGGCAACAAATCATTTTAGCTTGGTAATACTAATACCAAACTCTGCTACTACGCTTTGCTTTGTAGACAGAGTCTGGAATAGCATAATTGAAAAGTGTTTTCTTTCTCTTAGGGTGGTGCTTGTCTTAAGTATAAAATCATTAGTTACCCGTAAGCCAATCACATTAGGTTATGATGTGTGTTATGCGCTAGCTCAGCCGCATCGAACTTCCACTGTAAAGTCAAGTCAAGTCACCTTTTACATAACACTTTTTACAGTACAATTTGTTTCAAAGCAGCTTTACAGAGATAAAATAAACGCATGTATGATGCGAAAATGAAACCATCGAGCGTAATACCGGAGTGAACATGGATGTGAACTACTTTTGTAGATTATGTGAAGTAAATCTAACGGGCCTCTAGATATTTTGATATCTTGAAGAACGATTGGAACCAAACAGTTGAGGGGCAACATTGACTTGGTTTGGTTCAATTCGTTCTTCAAAATATCTTCCTTTGTGTTAAGCAGAAGAAAGAAACTTGAGGGTGAGTAAATGATGACAGAATTTTCATTTTTGGGTGGATCCCTATAAGAGAAAGTACGGCGCCATCTTACTTCGACCAAAGTGGCTTGAATGCACCTGCCGTCTCAAACACGACTTCCCACCTCGTAAATGCCATAGGTAAAAGAAATGGACACAGCGACCCTATATATTTCAAGGGAGAAAAGTCAAGCGAATTAGAAACAATTCCTGATGGCTGAGCTTGACAATGTAGCAACCTGTCTGACAGTTGTACGTCTTCTAGTAGTTGTGCCAAGAGAAATCTGAATCATTCCCTTCCGAATCTTGCTGAGACGGAGAGAGTGAGTATTAGCTGTCCATAAGCTAGCAGCAGGAGCAATTTATGACTCTCTATGGGCTTCTCCCTCGACTTTATGCCTCAACGTCTCTCCGATTGCCCACGAGCTTCTCCTCCTGTCTATACGGTAATGTCTCTATTGTGCGACAGAGAGTCGCGTGGTTATGACGCAATCGTTAGCCTATTTTTACATAAACTGCTTCTACTGGGCTATAATGTAAGATACAAAGTAATGGAGCCTTTTATACATTGTCGTGTTTCTTTAGAAATAAACAATGGACAAATGAGAGTCTTTGGAGGCCTCAGATGTAAAGTTATTCGCTGTCAAAGTAAACAAGCGATATAATGTGTAATCATATACTTAACCCACAAAATGAATGGGAGTCAATGGAATGCTAACAGCAGGTGAAGGCTTGCTAATCAATGGTGGCCCCCAAGGGAATCTTCAGTTTCCAGCTGATGGATTAGTTCGCTTCGTAAATACGAACTTTCCAGGAGGACTCGAACGCACCAGTGTCGACATTATATTCAGTAACATTGGGCAATTTTGGATGCAAAATTTATATGCTGTTTAATGTTGATGATCGCATTATTTTACTTAACCCTTTCACACATACGATCACACCGGCGTGCTTAGAGTGGTCAGTGGATCACGTGATCACCTGCTAAATTCAAATGTGTTTTCGCACGTTGGGCGGCGCTGAGCCAGAGACAAACACGTTCAGTGCTGTATTTATATCACAACTATTCAGTGTTTTCAACCACATACTGTTTATTTTAGGTTTCAGACATTTAAATACACATAAGTACTAGCAAAAAATCATTCTGAGTTTGTAAAATACACACTGATGTCTATGGAAGCGACAATAATAATCCTTTCCATTATAATAAGATGACATGTTTTCATATTTATATCAGATACACAATGTGTAAGTAGCTTAACATTTTATTTTTCTCCCAGTTCACCAGCCACATATTTTCATGTATTTCGTCAGAAGTCGAGGAATTGACGTGTTGTAAACTATCGCATATAGAGCTCAAGTAACGTGATCGTTATAAAGGTGTTTAAACAGAACACATCCACTTGCACATACCGGTATTTGACAATCGGAATAGCAGTGTTTCATGTTATAGCTAATACATTTGAAAATATTTTGAATAAAAAAGGAAAAATTACATAAAAGCAGATCATCATTCTTTCAGCGCTGTGTTGTGGCAACATGACAAGCAATGACACGTCACCATGGAAACATTAAAGTGACAGGTTCTAAATAACAGTCGCCTAGAAAAACTCATGCTGAGGGAATATTTTTAACTTTGTGAAAGGGTTAAGCATATGATTGCATATGACACATCATAAGCATATGACGCATCATATTGCTTGTTTTTGCATCATCATCACATTTGTTTTGATCAGTACTCTTTCAGAAGATGCGTAATAGTATCATCTACCGTACAACAGTGAAAACACCGAAAGCTGGAAAATTCTGTCAATGAATTTTCATTCATTGACAGAATTTTTGGGGAAAGAGTTAAAATGTTGTAACTTTTACATAAAATATTTTGAGTTTTTGTTTATTCACAAATACTTCTGCAAGGGCGGCTGGTTTATCCTTTATTTGAAAATAAATGCCACAGATTTAGTCTCTGAAATTTGTCCTGGAGACCACTGACCTTATAACGCTGATGTCGTACAGGCTGAGATTTGCCTGTCCATCTAAAGCCCCTCAGCCAGTTCTCTCAAGGTCAATCTCTTTCCATCACTCATAGCAATATACAGCCTTCACTTTCACTGAGAGCTGAGTGTTATGGTTTTCAGTTAATATCTTGTTTTATTTTTCCTTAACTAAGAGAAGCATCATTAGCCTGGGTGTCACTGGGCTTTAACATGGTGCTCTGCTTAAAAACACCTCAGCTGTGTTTGGAGTTCAGTGGACCATCATAACCTCTGTGCAGCACAACCTCCAGCCTGGCCTCTTCCATAGAATGGCTCTCTTCTCGTGATCCTGTCCTACTTCTGCAATTTACCACAGAAAACTGTTTTTTTTCTGCACTTTTTATAATCACATCACATAATTAGGCC